AAGGGTTTTTTTTTTTTTTTTTTTTTTTTTTTTAATTATCATAAATGGGCAAATCTAGCAGATGACAGTGTGGAACTATCATTGTTCGGGTTTCAACAAATTTTACCTTCGGGCAGGATCGTGATGAAATGATTTCACCAATTCCAAGCAACACCTAAAATAATCCATAAATAGTGAAAAGTTTAGCATTAACTTTGGCTTCCATATAACATCATGATTTGTAAACGCAAATAAAATGAAGATGGAGTAGCAGAAAATTAAAACTATAAATCCATCATATCAACGAAAGCTGTGTACCTATTTCTTTTTCTTTTTCTTTTTTTCCTTTTCCTTTTTATTTTCATTTTTATTTTTTTGAGCAAGATACAAAGTTGTGTACCTAGTAAATTGAAGTAATCAAAATCTATTAATAGAATGCTCATAATTTCTGAAGATTTTTACCAGTGATGGGCATATGGAAGTGAACAGGGATCCCATAGCATAAACAATGCAGTCCACGTCATTCAACTGGTTGAGGACAACAGGATTTGGTGCGGGGAAAACCTAATTAATGAAAGTACTGCAATTACCATGAGTCATGGAAATCAGGTTTGAATAAGCATTTTAAGTGTAGCATTTTTTGTTGCATATGGCATTGAAACAGGTAAACAAATATAAAAACAAAAGACAAAAGAATGAAGATGCTTCCATACAGTTCACATGATTGATAAGTGATAATACAACTCAAACAGAATTAGGAAAAAAAAATTAAACAAAAACCATAATTCTCGGACAACACCCTCTGCATGATTGATACTAAAAGTTGCGTAGTAGAAGTAGGTAAGTATAGTGCACATTATAATCAAGTCATTTACCTCATGCAGCAAATTACAACCCTCACTTGACATATAGAATACCCTCTTTATTCTTGTAGGAAGTGCTGGAGCCGAACTGTTCCCCTGCAAGATTTCCACATTTAAGTAAATAAGAAAACTTAGTAACCACCTCTACATTTATTTGTCTTACCACATGTACATGCATTTCCAACTACAACATCGAATCGTCACAGTGAAAATCACATATATTCAATAAGTTGGATAATCAACATGGTGAAAATCAGTGCAATGAGTTAATAAATAAATTGTATGCGTCATTGGGCCAAATTGACCATCTACTGGTTTTGTCTTTTAGTTTATGAATCAACTGAAGCAATCCAAGTCAAGGTACAAAATTCTCAAAATAAATTGATTTCAAGTTTTCAACCAAGGCATTTTTGTAAGTAGGCAAGATCATTTCACATTCCCATGATCAACCCTCGACTGTTAATCAGTACTGCATCATTTCCATGATTTAAAGCCCCATTTCCATGATTTAAAGCCCCAGATCACCAATATTAAAAGCATTTCCATGAAACACCACTGTAGTTTATTCATCAGCTGATCGGCCTTAGTAACCATAGTTACAGTAAACAAACGTGGCAGAAAGAAATGATTCACTGTGAAATAAGAATAGGCCTCAAACAAACTGTACCTTATTAATAAGCTTTGAAGGTCCAGTCGTTGGATGAGAGATTTCATTTTGACCACGTATTATTGTCCCATCCTGAACGTAGATTGAACAAAGAAAATTAATTATAAAATAGATGGTTTTCACAGTTCAAATTCTTGAGCCCTGCTGAGAGAAGCATTGCCGAAACTTTACAGCTGTATCAGATTATTTATGAAAAAAGCAACTATATCAAGAAAATTTTAAAAGGTTGTCTTAGGAGTAGAAGAGAGAGTATGAAAGGGATTCACAGCAACTATGTTTCAGAAATGAAAGTATAAAGAAGAATTCTGCAAACTTCACTCCAAATGCTGTGAAAAATGCAATGCCTCGACTTTCTTTCAGCTCTGAATAGAGAATTTGAATGTATTAGATAATCCTAATTACTATTAGCTCTTTCAGGCACTTATGCACATACTTGCACTTTCTCATTGCTATTGGCGTGTATTATATAAACTTTTGAGCAATAATTGTCAAAGAAAGAGAACGTTGACAATCATACCCATAATTCACATCCTAATGTAAGCCTGTCATTAGTGGAAATCACTGGAAGAACAAGACTGTCCGACGGGATGTCTGAAACACGTGAAAACAGAAAAATTGCTGCATCTAGTGACTGGAAAAATATACGAGCGCCTGCAAAAAAGAAATTCCCAATGCTGCGAAAATCAAGGGAGTTAGTAAGTCATGATAATGCTAAAAACAATTAACCAATCAGTTGCAACTATTGATATTGAACAATGCCACTTAAATACTTTTCTTTCTTTAAGTTCATACATCCGACAGAGCAAGGGGTAAACTATAACACATACCTTCCATTGCTGAAGCAAAATAACATTTCAGACCGTCGAAGAATCTGTAGTCAAGCAATTTTATTACAATTCCTATGCAGCCTTCGCTAAAATATATATATATATGTATATATAGGGTCTAACTTAATAGAGGCATTACAGTAACGTGATTAGAGGCATAAAAATAGAGTGGGAGATTAGAAGAACCCAAAAAACCATTTAACCGATAATGAACTAGGAAGCAAAAATGCCGCCTACATTATACCTGGTTCTGAAAATAGGCTAGAAATGCTCGAATAGTTTCCCTGTAGGGCTTTGAGACACCGTCCCACAAAGAATTTTCTCCTTCCACGATATCATACCTGACAAATTTCCATAGTGCAATTTCTGTTACCAATTAGATCGTTTCCTGCTAAGTGCCATGAAACCTAGCAAATATAGAAGCAAGTTCGTGCCACAAAGAAACAGATAGGCAACAGGCAACCTAGGTGTGTGCTTTGCACCAAGCTTGCAGCCCCGTTTATTACTTTAGCTCTGACGTTCGTTTATGTAAATTTATAGCTACATTTAGAATTGCAAGTTCATTCCAATTGTTCTTACTCATGGCTAATTAATGCTAAAAGTTAAAACATCCTACATTTATCATTTTGGAGGGGGGAAAAGACCTACAAAATTAAAGAAAGACAGATGGAGAAAATAATACCACTCCGATTTGGCCTGCTGCGCATCGAGTGGTAAACGATAACCTAACAATCTGCGCACCGCGAGTGCCTCGGCCGTACTCTGATCAGATAACCTCAAACATCTTGACCGTATATCTCCAACAGCCGGACCACCTAGCTCAAGATTCACTAAAAATTTGAATACGTAATTTACATAAAAGAGAATAAATATCAAGCAGACTCACCAAGCACGCGAACAATCTCAGCGGTGCTTCCTCCATCGTCGGAAACAGGAAGAACATGAGCTACGCGGGTCGTAAAGTTTTTGAGCTCCTCGACTACGCCATTAAATGCAGTCCCACCTGCACTACACCAGAAAACTACTCGTTCAGAAGAGAAAACGAACCAAACTTTATGAAATAGCCCCATTGGAGCAGTTCCCGCAGGATTCGGGGATTAAGACCTGAGAAGACTAGAAGAGAGGGTTGGATGGGGTTATGATTTGGATCCGAGGAACCATTGCAATGGGAACGAGGAAGAGCCATGGAGAGAGAAGTTCTGGAAGAAACATGGAGAGGAATTTTGGGGAGATTGAGGCACAGTGAGGGACCCAATCTTGTATCCGCCATATTCGCGCGCGTACTCTGCGGCCCTGAACTCTTTGCCGATGCCTTTCTGTTAGGTATTTTATCAATTTTCTTTTCAGTTCAATTTCACTTATTTTTCGATTTTTTAGAAGTTAATAATAAATAGAAAAAAAAAATCCATCCATTTAGATTTAATATTTTTCAGAGTAATTTCGCTAATTAAAATAAGCTTAGGTGGCATTAGATTAGTTGACATGAAATGATTTTTTTTATAAAAACATTGGTCTTCTTGAATGGTACACTCAATATTCTACGATTAATCTTAGAAGATACAGAAGATATTCGTCTAAGTAAATTTATGACGTCTATAAAATTTTATTTGTTTCATAATTCAATTTTCTTCTTATTTTTAATTTTATGATATATTTAGGATAATCTTATTTGGTATTTTTTAAATTCTTAATGGTATATTTATATGGTTTTCACATTTCATAAATAAATATTTAAATTTATAGTCAATTAATTAAAAAAAAAACAAAGTACTTTGTAGAATGTTGTTTTCGTCTTGACATATTTCATAATTAAATATTTAAATTCTTAATGAATTTTATTGAAGATGAAAGTCTCCGTCTAGATTAATTTAGGAGATGATCATGAATTTATGATAAGGAATACTCTCTTCGTTGAAATTGAGTCATTTTGAGAAATCTCAAATCAAACGATGAAGGCTTGCAAACTGGACAATATAAACCATTGTTGACTTCGTTTGGCTTTGATTGAGCTGCAGAAGACGATAGAATACAGAGGGGCAGGGCGATGAAAGTTTACAAATGCGTAATGGATTTGGAGGTGTTTCAAAAAGGCGAACTCTTGGAACTAATGCTGGAAACCAAGGTCCTCCTAATGGTTGGACTATAACATTCCCCAGCAGCATTGGCTCGTCGAGTTATTATCTCCATATTCTTATACAGGCTCTGCTTCACCAGGCTTCTCATTATCCTCTTCCCTTTCTCAACCTCCTCCTCACTCAATCCTGAGCCTACTGCAACTATCCCACCCCTTTGAGGTCCAGAATGCGGCCCCACTCTCGCCTCCCTCTCATCTTTAAACCATTGCAGCAGTTTCAGAGCTCGCCTTTGAGCTAATGAGCTTCCTAACAGCGCCAATCCCAGCAGCGCAGGGGCGATGCAGGACTCGCCCAATCTCTCCCTTTGCGCCCAGCTTTGATGGCCCAGAATCATTATGATGTCCGCTGAAAGTTCTTGGCATTTGGGTTTCTCTTCCCATGTCAAAATCTCTACCAAAATCTCTGCGAATCTTGAGTTGCTTTCCAGAGCTTGCTTCCCTTTTGAAGTCACTGCTAAGTTTGCTAGCGTCGGTAAGGCTTTCTCGGAAGACTCTTTGACACTGGAGAATCTGAGTAGCGTTGGAACCACACCATTGGAGATTAAGGTCTCTGCATTTTCTAGGACAGTGGAAATGTTGAATAAAGTTGCCAAACAAAATGCTTTGGTTTCAGGGCTCGATTTTGAATTGTTGAGTATGGTTAAGAGATATGAAACAACTGGTTCGGTTGAAGCAAGAAACAACTGGGTGTTTGCTAGACATGAAAGTGACAATAAAAGCTCTGCAAATTCAAAGCTGGATGAATCCATTGTTGCGAACTGGGTGTTCTTCGGTAGCTTTGATAAGATCCCTTCCTCCACCATTACTGTCTTGTTCCTGAAGAATTGCAGAGATTACAATTAATATTTTCTTTTATGTCTAGCAAACACCCAGTTGACCTAGAAAACAAACAAAGCATCGACTATGAATTTTCTTTTCCGAAGAGATATCGGACCAACTTACAGGAGAGTATCGTTAGCAAGTTCAATCAATGCCCTAACTGCCAACTGATCGGAATCCGCCATCGCCACCAAAGCAGGTATAACTCCGAGATCCACCATCAATTTTCTAACCTTGGCGCTCTCTTTAATCAACCTCTCAATCTCCTTCGCCGCTCTCTGTTTTTCCTCCCCGTCGCCGAAGTGGAGGCTCTTCACTGTCCTCTGCAACACGGACGACGCCGGATCATACTGCCGGATATAACTCTCTTCTCTGTCCCGAATTTCTGGCCTCGAAATTTCCGACGGATCAGACGGTGAACGGAATCGCTTACGAGATGATTTGGAGCGAAGGAATTGGCGGACGCGAGTGAGGAAACGAATTTTGATGTACGAATAAGGGAATAGAGAAGGAGGCATGATTTTGATTGATGATGGAATGAGAGGAAGTGAATTTGGAATCTGATTTTGTTATGGGAATTGGAACAGAGCGCAGACGGAATAATGGTGACACGAGAGTGAACAGCATAAAGCGATGTCACTTCAAATTCCATTCTTCTTCACGAGCCATAGAAGCTATTCATGTTATTGGCAGGTAATTGTCCTTTGTGAACTGTTCATACTATTGGCTGTCTAGACGTATGGAAACTAGACAGCCTTCGCCTTTTCCTTGGGAGCGTTGTTGTTGTTCTTGGCGAGTATTCTACGGATGAAGCTTTCTCAAGGACTAGACTTATTGCCCGGTGAACCGATGATGCGAGAAGTCGGGAAGCCTCGGGATGCGCAGCATTCTCTGCTATGGGGCTGGTGAAAAAGAATATGCTCTTCACTCTGTTTCCCAAAGTGGATATCTCTGACTTTACTAACTTCAGGTGAAGGGAATCAAGGGCTTGTTTTAGATCACACAGAAGCTCCGGTTGATATTCGCAACAAATTGTTGCCTTGAGGGTCATATGCCCGTTTGCTCCCACCCCACAAGGTTCGACGTTGACTTCGTCGGTGTCCAATGGAACGAAAACACCATTGCTGGCTTCTGCTGCCTTCTTCTTCAATTCCTTCACTTGTCTGACAACTTCGGCGAGCAGTGTTGCTTTGTCCCTCTGATTCAGCAATTCATGAGTGTGGAAAACCAATGGATTTCGAATTTGAAAATTCACAATCTTTGAATATGACTGACCTTAATGGGGCAAGGAACAAGGTCACGCAGAGTCGAGAGATGGGAATTGATTCTCTCTCGCCTCCGCCTCTCCGCCTCGCTGTGATTCTTTAGCGCCGCAAGTGCTTTCTCCTCCGACACCCTTTTCTTCGACGGCTGAGTCGAGGCTTTGACGAGCTCTCCCTTCTCACCATTCAACGCGAAAGACTTGGATAACATTGACCCACCACGCACAAATCCAAAACTAAGGTTCTCTAAACTAAACGGGTCGATTGAAGTAGTCGCATCGTATGAGTAAGCCATAGATTGCAAACCCAGAAACCCAAAAAATGAACAATCACTCGGAAATTACTTACGAACCGAAGGTTGAAGACAGTAGTCCAGGAGGTCGATTCGTGGGGGCAAACCAAAAGGAAAGCTTGTGGAGAGTGAAGCTTCGTTGTACACACACTCTGTTGCTCAAAATCTTGCTGGAAACTCTGGTTTTTTTCATACCTTCCATAACGATTCATGTAAATAGAGTTACAAGCGAGGAATCAGATAGAAAACATCCACATTTTCTTCTTGATCATCTTGAATTCGAGCATTTCGAATGTTTTTCTGGGAATTGGTCCCTCGGAATTCGGAAAGAGCTTGAGAATATATGAATTCAGATGGGTTTTCAAATCAATTCACGGATGAGATTGAACAAAGATTGATTCGGAGGGATAAAAAAATGGCGATTGTAGTTGGTGCCACAACTTCGACTGAAGCTTATATATAGATGAAGGTTTGTGGAAGTCAATTCTAAGATTCCAAATACTATATTTTCTTAAATTATATTAGTTTTGTTCGATAATGTAATTCATTTTATATCCTAAAGTTTAATGTTAAAATCATACAAGAATATTAATGGATCTTTATTTTTCAATTTTTACAGAGCTTATTATCTAAAGTTATATATGATATTAAATACTATGATAATATATTAACCTAATGTTAACATATTTGGACGGTTTCATGAGCAACCTTATGATAATATATATGAGGTTTTCATTGGAAATAATAAAATACATCTGGTGAAGAAAGGACTGAGCCACTGTTTTATTATTATTATTTATTTATTGTATTAGAATAATCAATAACCCAATATTGTTGGGTGTACACGTGGCAATGTCGTCAAAGGGGCAATAGTTGTTTTTATTGACTCCTTTATGGGGTTCTTTTTGGTGAGATGGCCTCTTACTTTTTTTCTTTTTCTTCAAAATTGGCTCTTTAAGTATTTATACATAAAGTTGGTTTTGACAATTAAATTGTTTCAAAATTTTAAAATATATATATTAAATTGTTACATATTAAAGTTGATTGTTATAAAATTTATTTTTTATTTAATTTATCTCAATATTTTGATTCAGTCCGCTATTTTCTTATATATCATATAATATATATAGGAACTTCACCAAAATTAGGTGTTTTATTATTTGCTTTATTTTACAATATTATATATGTATTTGAATTTAACTTGTTTGGATGTATTTTTTTTTTTTTTTTTCAGCGACCTTTGGAGTATTTAATCGCTTAGACTCATTGAAAGGGTAATACATTTTGCGTCTTGATAAAATAATTATTAAATATTGTTTCTTTATCTCCCCCACTAATTTATGACCACACATCATATATGTTTATAATTTAATAAATTTTTATTTGAGAGAGTGACTATTGAAATAATCATATTAAATTATTTATGATATCCCCCATATGACCCGTTTTTTATCTTCGAGGGGAATGTTGGATGATGGAAGTCCCACATCGACTAATTTAGGGTGTGATCATGGGTTTATAAGTGAGAAATACTAACTCCATTAGTATGAGGCCTTTTGGAGAAGCCCAAAGCAAAGCCATGAGAGCTTATGCTCAAAGTGGACAATATCATACCATTGTGGAGAGTCCTTTTCGTCTAACAGGGAAAATGAAAAAAAATCATGTAAACCTCAATTTGGCTAAGGGTATAAAAATTTGTACATCCAATAAATTAGTACATATCAAAATTAGGTTAATTTGGACCGTTAATTTTACTATATATTATTATAAATCCTAATTGAGAGAAGAAGTTCACTATTATATGGCTCGAGCATTTTCGAAATTGAAGATTGCATTTTTGGGTGTCCATTTTACAAGCCCAATAACCAAATTAGAAGGCCCAATTTGTATAATTTGGGCCCATAAACGCGAAGTTCAGTTTAGAAGACTACAGCCCAATCTGATGGATTGAATTTCTTGCCTCCAATATCATCTCTCCGATGTCCGGCTCTTGTAAGAATTGCCGCGGCAGGTCCATCTTACGCGATGTTGTTTCCGGCAACCTGATTTGCTCCTCTCATGCGGTATTGTTCAGGAATTTTACAATTACGAGTCCCATTTTTTTTGGTGTCCATGGAATCTTATATTCGGGCAGCGTTTAAAATTATAAGCCCAAGAAAATCTTTGAGGCTTAAAAAGTTCATGATGATATTACGTTTAGGTTAGGATTTTCTGCTTCCATATCAAACAGTGTTAGGATATTAGTATGGACTTGGTGATTGGTTCACAATACTTGGTGCTCGTGCTTACGTTTCTATGCGTAAGGATAATCGTCCTTTATCAATGTCGGAGGTTGCATCGACCCTCGAATGTGATCTTAATTGACAGAATGGTTCTCAGAGTCGTCGATATTTTGGATTTGAAGGGGCATGAGTTTCCAGTGTTTGACATTGTGGATTCATTAGGGCGGGCTGCAAGGAACTCACCATCTTCCTCAAAAGTAGAAGCAGATAGACTCGAGAGAATTGTTAAGCAAGGCATCTTTCTGTTACAGTATGCTATGAAGTGGTTTCTGACGACTGGGCGGCAACCGCTACCGATAGTGGCTGCCGTGTTGGTTCTTGTCAGAATTGAATGAGGTTGATGCTAGTATTGACAATGTAGCAATAGAATATTGTGAAGAGATGTCACAACGAAGAATATTGTGAAGAGTGCTCATTTTGCGATTCAGTATATGAAGTTGAAATCAATCTCAAATGGCAGTGGTAAGCGGAAGAATTTGGAGAAAGTGGGGATTGATTTGCTGGCCACAGTGAGCGAGTGATTAAGAAAAGAAGAGTATGAGAGTGAGGTTAATAATTTAGACGATGATTCTCAATATTTTGAGTTACAAGGAAATAGTTGGCGTGATGTATCGAATTGGCGTGGCCTGATGCATCCCTCGTTTGATATTGTTGGCTGATAAAGATTTGGGGCGTTCATCTATGAATGCAGTAAGAACTTGAGTTTAAAATTATAGCAATTGCTTGGATTTCTGGCTGGCAAAACAGACGATGAATTGGACAAGAAAGCAACTCCTTGTGTTGTTCTTAGACCATCTAATTGTTTTCTGCCTTGTCTTGTCTTGAGGCTCTCTCAATGACAATGATTCAACCCTCGCAGTTTCCGGTAGCTGGAACGATTCTCCTGAAGGTAAATTCCTTTCTTTTCTTTTTGTCAGAACAGCAACTCGATTTAAAGCATTGTTCTTGCAATGAATTTCTTTCACAATTGTAGATAGAATCAATAAAGAAAAGAAAGGATTGAAGGGAAAAAGGATGATATAAAGAAAAAAGATGATAGTTATTTATTTAGGAAGAGATATTGACTGAATGAAACCACAAAGTTTCAATTTTTTATTTGCAACTTTTTCAAAAAGACAAGAGGAATCGGCTACCAATTAATAAAAAAACAACAACGCTCTTTTCTTTTACCAAGTCAATTTGGAGAAGGGAGGGAATTAGGATATTACACTAATTTGCTTCAATACACTCCTTGTTCTTAATAATTTAATACCTACAAAAGCAACTTAAAAGAGATTTCCAGTTTACCTTTAGTACACGCCAGAAAGCAACCATTTACCTGATTCTTGTCGTTCAGCACTTTCTTGCACTTTAAGCACATTCAATCACCACTTGCTTGAATATAAAATATTCTTTAGTGCATCCATATCTACTATCCACGTATACATGTCGAAATATGTATCCATACAAAAGAGGGATTGACTTTCTTTTTTCTTTCATTTACCATAACAAAGAGACTGATGCTTATACGAAATGCCGTGGAAATGTAATACACAATTTACATATGAGGCTATGATAGAAGACTTTAGTTTCTTTTAATTATTAAAAAAAAAAGAATGGCATTGAAGAAGATGTGGTGACGACACTAGCTTTATAATTAATTGGTCATTGTGACAATCCTAAGTATGTCGTGAAATTAGATTTAAAACTTCTCTAGCGATGAGCGAAGACTTGTTAATTACGAAGTCTTTGACAAATGATTTTCTTATGCATTTGCAGGTGTTGACCATGGCAACTGTTTTAAGTAACTGCCTTGTATTTTCTACCAATGTTCCATAGAGACATAAAGAGGGAGGCTTGTTGTAATGCGTATAAATTGACTGTTGCTTCCCTTCAGCTTCCTTGTACACTTGTTCTGTTCTCTCATTAAAGGAGAAAAGCTTCTTCTGGACCCTCTTCAATTGCTATACAGACATGACTGTAAGTCTCTCTCTCTCTCTTTCGTGGAAGACTTCTCTTGAGTTTATAGCTTTTCGTGCAGTTTTGTTTATAACTATGTTGTTAATTTAGTATCTTTCATTTTCTGGTCTATATCTGTCTGCCCTGTGAAGTTTCATTTACAGTATCACAAGAAGATGTCTGTTTATATTTTGAACAGATAAAATATTTGAGGAGACTGATCCAGTGTGACTGATAATTTGTGTCATTAAATATAGGAGAGAAACTGTAAAAGTATTTCAATTTTTATCATATTTTTAAATTCGGAGTATGTCCGAAGCTTTGGAGTTTGTGTTCGTTTGGTTGTTTTTTTCTTTTTCTAGACAAAGAAATCTATTTTTTTAGGCTAAGAAATAATCTTAGGCAGGCCATGTTGTTCACTTTACATTTCCTTTTGGATTCGTGCACGTTTTTGTTTTCTGAAAAAGAGTTCCCCTCTAGTTTGGCTGTTCTCCTTTTGAGTAATTCTTAGTTTATTAAAACACGTTTAAGTTTTGTGGGAAAACCACTCTCCAGCCTTTTCTTGTCAGCACCCTTCAGCACAAAAGTTTCAACTGAAACAAAGCTGTAGCTGTTATTTAGGTTTTCGATACTATGGCATTCAAAATCCTTTTCCTTAAACGAGCCTCACAGTATTCAGTGAGGTTCATTCTTGTGAGAAAGTAAGAATAGATTAATATAAAAAAAATTAAAATTAAAAACAATAATATATCAACCAACCACTTTATTAGGAAAAAGCCCCCAAATCCTTTTCTCGTGGTCTATTCAGGGGGGAAGGTATGAACAGAATAATATATTAAAAAAAATGAAAACAAAATAATTATTATAAACTAGACATTTTGTTAGGAAGTTTAAACTATCAAAATTATCCTTAAATGAAAGAGTTGGTTTCAATTATGATTCTTAATTTTTGAAAAGTCTAAGTTTGTTTCGAAACAACTCTTCAAGTTTTTGTCGTTCTGATTCGTGGATCAAAGTTTTTGTGTCGGAAAATAAATTTGGAGGATAGAGTTGAGAAAAAATCGTAAATGAAAGGACAAGGAATTGTAGGAGGCTTGAAATTGAAAGGAGTAAGACAACAAGATACATGGTTAACAAATGTTATGTGCTTTTATTTTTATTTTTTTTCGTTGTGTTTATATTTATTCACATAGAAGATTGAACTTTCTGCCTATGGATCTAATGAAAAATAATTTTACTAAGAATTTTTATGAAGCTAACTTCAAACTTCAAGAATTCTTTTAAATTTAGGAGTATAATTGAAACTAACTTCAAAAGAGATATTTTTGAGGATTTAAGCTATTAGGAAAAAGTGAGGTTACTTTTTGATATTTTATTGGTGTTAAAAATGACCTTTCCTTGTATATGTGTATTTCTCAATATTTTATAAGAACTGTTATTCTTGCTTTAAAGAGAGATGTATTGGATTTCTGGTTTCTGTACCAATCAATGATGTGGGTACCTTCTAATTAACAAATTATTTTGGACTCACACATCAGTAGTAACTACAAGTCAATGTTTATCTTTAAGGTCTCATTTTTTTAGTTCTTTTTTTCTAATGCAATTAGTTATATTATATGCAAGTCCATGAAAAATTCCTTGACTTTATTTATTTTTAATTCTCATGAGTTTCCAACAATAATGGATTAGACTAAGTCTTCTACTCATTATCATTTAGTTCAGATTATTATTTTTAGCATTGAACATTTTTATTTAAGGCCCTCTATGCATAATGTTTAAAAAACTAGTTAATTCCTCATTTTATGCATGAAGATGAAACATGATCTATAAGCAGGGACCCATATATCAATGACTTTTCAAACACATCTTGATTCTTACAAAATGATGAACCGGCAAACGTGAAGGGCATTGAAAATGAAACTTTTTATTTTTATTTTTATTTAATTAGTGTTCTTTCCCCCCTCTTTTTACTTTATATAAACTATATGAATGACATGTTTGGATTTTTGTTCTTTCAATTTATACCAGGTAACAGAGATGAGAGTTCACATGGACTGTACGGGATGTGAAAAACAAGTAAGAAAAGCTCTGGAAAGTCTACCAGGTAAGCCAAACATATAGAGAAGGTATTTGATTGTGTACAAAGAATAAATCGTTACGAAAAAGAAAAGGTTTAGAGACTGAATCGCTACTTCACTAATGGTGTAATTCTGAACTAAAGCATTGAAAGCATATCAAAATATCAATATCTTGAAACTCTTTGTGGAGAAAGTAGTAAAACTGTTATTTGGTTATGATGATCAGGTGTGGATGATGTGATAATAGATTTAAGCCTACAGAAGGTGACTGTGATGGGGTGGGCAAAGCAAAAGAAGATTCTGAAAGCAGCGCGGCGGAATGGGCGGACGGCAGAGCTGTGGCCATACCCTTACAACCCGCAGTACCATGGTTTCATCCACCACTACCAGCATTACCTCAACTCTCCTCAGCATCACCACCAGCCTCAGCCTCAGCCTCAGCCTCAAACTAAGCCAATCATCACCTACAATTCACTGTCTTCTTCCTTTCACAAGCACAATATGAGTCCCATCCATGAGTATAATAGCTACAACTACAGCGGCAGCGATGCTGACGACTACGGCTATCATCAAGAGCCACCCTTTTCAACGATTGATGAAGAAGCTGGTGCCATGTTCAGTGATGAGAATCCGCATTCTTGTGCTATTATGTAATGCAAGTTTATGTATATTTTGAATAAGGTACTTAATTTTTTTTTAATTAAGTACTTTGAAGGTTATGTTATTTATAATTTAGCTTTTTTTTTTTTTTTTTTTACTTGAATGCATGGGTACTCACTGTGATATATATATGTGTACAAATATGTGTAAATGAGCAAGAGATGTGTATTTTAATATTCTCCAAGTAAGTACTTTATTAATGTTTCTAGATTTATCCCGAACCTTATAATATTTTGAATTTTGGTCGATTGCTAATAATATTTTGAATTTCGGAAATTAAATAATTTTGATTGGTCGAAAAAAAAATGAGAAGTGTATCTTGAAATAATTAAGTTAAATTGAATACAAAATTAATAAAGAAGTTAAGAAGGAGACAAAGAAGAATGAGGTAGGTTGAAGGATAGTAGATTTATGTTGTTTCCATTAGAAATGATTTAGAGGTGTGGGGGTTTTTGACCATAGCCAATGGAGGTCGAGGTCCGCCCAAGAACAGCGACTGATTCAGCACAGATTTTTTCACAGCTTTCTCTTTCCGCCTATGGCCGTATGGGCTTTTGCCTTCATCATCGAAGGGGATAAGGAACGTTATGGCTTCTTCTTGACTCCATTCGGACACCTCTCCTTCTGCCTCCTAATTCTCTCTCTTCTTTCTCGTGTAATAAATATATGGCATTGGCGCCTTTCATTCACGCGCGCTGTTGCTGCTTCAACCCCTTTTTTGGCACTCAAAGAACCAATTCTTCTCATGGACCTGTAGGGACGTCGTCGATTTCTTCTTCCTCTTCCTCTTCCGCCGCCTCCTCCTCCTCCTCCTCCTCCTCCTCCACCACTCCCTTCTCTGGTACTTCTGCCCTTCTCCTTCTTCGCTATTTTTCTTTTCATTCATGAGTTTGTGAAGGGAACAAGGGAATTGGGTTTTGTTTTGTTTTTGTTTTTGTTTTTTCTTCGCGATTTTTTCTAATCGTGAAGATGACAGCAATCTGAATGGGTTTTCTGGTTATGCTTGGATATCGATTTTTCCAAATTTCATATACGCCAACTCTTCGATCTGGACTATCACTCTTCTGTACCTAATCATGGATTCTGGTTACGAAACTATACTTTCCAAAGATAAAGTAAAATAGGATTGTCGATGGCAAGGAGATAATGCAAACCGTGGATGAGGAGAAATGCCTCTTTCCTTCCATGTGAACGTATGTGTTTGTATGATGATCTATGAAATTAGATATGCAATCAATAGATAAGCTCATGTTTTGTAGTTTCTCCGTACATTTTGTATTCATCCATGAGAAATAAAGGTTTTATTTCTATCAAGAATATAAATGCAGTGCTGTGACTTCGATAGTCATATAGACTTATTTCTACTTGCTAATAGTTCCTTAGAAACTGTTAATCCAAGGCTACACCACATTTGAAACTTCCTTTTGAGGAAGGCACTGCTACAATTTTGATTACAGGTTCAGAACCAATAATATTGCTTATTCGGTTATTCCTGCTTCCAATGAGCTCGAAGTCTGTAATCTACAGCAGTTTGAATTTGTCTGAACTTTATAATTATTAGTTTTGGATGCTGGTTTTCCTTTTTTCTTTTGGTTTGAGCTGGTTACATACTTTTCTCTTTTACATGTCATTGATGGACATCAGCAAATCTTATGAATTTCAGACTCGAATCACAATTGGAGATTACCTGACCTTGGATCTCAAGCCATGAGTACTTTAACCCAGGGAACATTGTCATCATCAAGTAGCATAGGGAATGTGAAAAACAAGCCTGATCATCTTCTTGTTCTTGTTCATGGCATCATGGCTAGGTATCCATTGATTAAACAACCAAGATTAGATAGTAAGAAAAAAAAAAAAAAAAAAAAAAAAAAAAAAAAAAAAAAAAAAAAAAAAA